GCTGAGCTAAATCCCCAGCCCCTATTGAGATATAATTGACAGGCATACAACTTGCTCATTTAATATGTACAGTTCCATAGTTTTAGAGTACCGCACTCGCCAGGCTGTACAGCAGTCACCACAGTCCGTATTGCAATGTTGTCATCACCCCAAAAACAGACTCCACAACAGGTTAATCAGTTGTTTCCTTTATCTTCTAAATCCTTTTTCCCTCAAAAACTAGTAAGTAATTTTCTGTCTTTATGAATTTTTCTATTCTGGAGAGCTTAGATAAGTGAAATCATACAATATATGGCTTTGTGTTGGTTTCTTTCACGTAGTGTAGTGTTTCAGAGTTCATCCATGTTGTAGCCTGTAGCAGTACCTCATTCGCTTTTGTTGCCAAGTAATACCCCACTCTGGACGTATACCACATTTTGTTTATCCATACACCAGCCAATAGACATTTGTTTTCACTTTTGGTGGTTATGGATAAGACTGCTATGAACACTTTCATGTGGACGTTGTATATATTTTTTCTTGGATAGATTCCTAAAGAGTGAATTGATGAGATAGAGGTTAACTTTATATTAGGCCTTTGAAGAATAGCCAGATTACCTTCCAAAGGATTTTTTCCCAATGTTGTCTGCATGATTTTCCAAAGTGTTGGCACTGTTTTACATTCTGACCACTGGTGTTAGGAGTACTTGCTATTCTTTAGCTTTTAGATTCTAGGCAAAGTTTTATCATGTAGTTTGATTGGCATTTCTCTGATGGCTAATTTTTTAGTGGACTTCTTGGCCCTTGAATATTTTTGTCTTCATAGTATTGATTTGTATGTATTCTTAATACAGTGTAAACACATCTGTGGTCAGGTATATGATTTGCAAATATATTCTCTCACTTTGTGCACTTTTTACTTTCTTAATGCTGCTCTTTGAAGCACAACAGTTTCTAAGTTTTAACCAGGAAAGTCTTCTTATTCCTCCAGTTTTGAAGAATAGGTTTGCAGGTATATTATTCTTTGTTGGCCTTTCTTCCTTTCTGCTCAGTAATTTAGCTGTGTCATCTCACTCCTTTCTAACTTGCAAGCTTTTCTGTTAAGAACTCAACGATTTTTCTTTTTCTTTCCTGATTTTCATTTAGTTTTCTGTTTGTGCTTACCTTTAATTCCCAGAGCGTTTTTATGATAGTTGAGTTCTTTATCCAGTAAGTTTACATGTTTGTTTCTTTGGGGGTGGATTATGGAGATTTAATTTAGTCTTAGAGGCCAAATAGGCCCCATTTTACTGTTTCTTTGTGTCTCTTACTGTTGAGACTCTGGTATCTGAAAAAACAGCTGCTTTTCTTAGTGTTTGCAGTCTGGTTTTGTGCTGGGAAGACTTTTCCCTAGTTAGCCCCGCTAGAGATTTTGGAGCCATCTAAAAGCCTTTTCTATGGATGCATCTTCTGTGGGTTTGGAGTCTAGTGGGTGAGGGTTGCTGGTTTTTACTTAGGAGCGCCCCCTGCTGTGTGTCTCTGATACTGTGAATGTTGATCACCTTTGTTGACAGCCCCAACTTGCGGCCTTGTTCCTGTTAGTGCTTTGATTCAAGTAAGAGAGAAACCAGTTCTTTCTGTCACATGCCCACAGGAGGTTTCTTCTCTGTTCTGTGCTGAAGAGAAGAGCTCCACCAAGCCACAATGTTTTTAAAACTAGACTTCAGTGGGGATGGTATTATGTGCTTGCCCGGAGTACAAGAACCTCTTTACTGGTTTCTGAGTTTCTTACACAGGCAATACATGGGTCTATACATTATTGGTTTTTTTTTTTGTTGTTGTTGTTTGTGTGGGTGTGTGTTTTTGAGATAGGGTTTTGCTATGCAGTTCAGGCTGACCTTGAGATCACTTTGTAGCCCAGGCTGGTCTTGAACTTGCAGCAATCCTCCTGCCTCAGCCTCCCGAGTCCTGGGATTATAGGCATGTGCCACCACGCCCGGCCCATTGTTGTTAAATCTGTGTCTGGGGGTGGAAGAATAGGAACTGGGCATTGCTATTCTGTCATTTGCTTATGTCACTCCCCAGTAGCACATCTATTTGTGTGTATCTGTGGGTATTCACCTTTTCCCATTTGTTGTACTGCTTGCCACTTGCAAGTGGAAACTTCTCTTTCTTTGTATTTTTCTAAGAATGTTTAGTAAAGCTCTTTACAAACAACAGTCATTTTTTTTCAGTAAATATATGTTGATTGATGCTTTAAAAATATGCCAATTTTCTTAAAGTACGTTTCTTTAAAACTGCGTCTCCTTCTTAATCTCCCTCTGATGTCCCCTCTCCTCCTTTCCTCCTGCACCTGTCTTCTGTTATAGACCTGCTAGCTGTTAAGAGCACGTTAGGAGCACCGTCATGAGTGAGCACCCTGTCTCCACAGTGCCTGTCCTGGCTCAGTAACAAAATTCTCCTCAAGCTTTTATTGTTTTCAATTTCTAAAAGAATCATTCTTTGTAAAGTCTTCCCCTTCCTTACTCCTGGATCCCAGTCCTAGAGGTACACGGTTTATGCTGGTGAATAGTCTTTCATCCAGCAAACCTGGATGCATTGCTAACCAGTTTTGTGCTGCGCTTGCCTTTTTCTTAACTTACTGATAGATTGGATGCCCATGGAAATCTAGATCATTATTAATAATAGTTACATTCCATTTACTTCTATATTTGACTCATTTTCCTGTTCATAGGTAGCTGTTAAACATTCTTTTGCTATTTTCATTCTTGTGCTTTTTTCCCCCCTTCTTTTAAACTTATAGTAGTATTTTTGAGGGATATATTGCTTAGAATTGAGATTCATAGGCTTCATTAATTGTGCATGTTGGTGCTATTCCACCAGGAAAGTTGTACTACTTGGTAAGAACTTTAATTGCCCATTTCTAATGCCTTTTGCATTTTATCTTTTTACCATCTCAGCAAGTCTGGAAAAATTTGAAATTCCAGTAAAAATTCGCTTAAGCCCTGAACCATGGACCCCCGAAACTGGTCTGGTGACAGATGCCTTCAAGTTGAAACGCAAGGAACTTAAAACACATTACCAGGCGGACATTGAGCGAATGTACGGAAGAAAATAATTACTCCCTTTCGGCATCAGTTTGCTGCAGTGAGCTCAGATCAAATAGGAAAATACTTGAACAATGCATGTCTCAAACTGAGGCACACTCCATTCTCCGTGTTAAACCCAAACCGTTACTTCTCGTGACATCACATTTTTAACTGACAGGCTTAGTAAAATACTAAGACAGCAAACTGTCTGTCTCTTCTTTCCTTTTTCTCCTTTGGTTTACTTTACCACCTATGACTGTGCTTGTCAGGAGAAATTTTCATGATCATATTGGGGAAGCAGTGATTTTAAAACCTCAAGTTTTTAAACATGATTTATATGTTCTGTATAATGTTCAGTTTGTAACTTTTTAAAGTTTGAATGTATAGAGGGATAAATAAGAATATAAAAATTGGTTATTTGGGAGATTTTTTACTTAATGTATTTAAAAACACAAGGGTCCTTATGTGAAATTATGTAAATTTCAAATGCTTATGAATCAAATCATTGTTGAACAGAAGATTTGTTGTTGTGTAATTATTGTCTTGTATGCATTTGAGAGAAATAAATATACTTACGTTTCAAGAAATTGAGATCTTGTGAATGTATGTCTGACATTGTTTTCTTTTTGTATTTATTTTTTATTAGGAAAAAATATATAGTTAGTTTGGTGCTGCATGAAGCAAAATAGCAGAAGAAGCCATGGTTTAGTAATAAAGGAGATATGGGACGCAGCAGATATAGCACCGTTTGACAAGTAGTCTGATACTGTCAAAATGTGTTCGGGAAACGAGCCAAGATCAAATGGAAGCAATTCTGAAAGAAAAATTTAAAAAAAAAAGGGTAGAAAATTATGGTTTATTTCATTGACCACATGTACATTTAACTGTACATTTATGAACACATTAATCATGAAAAATTATTCTACCCCACTTGCTTCTAGTAAACTTTGCAGATATTTAATTATACATCTCCTTTCAAAATTAGTATTTTTAAAGAGTTTACGCTGGTGTTTGTGTGAAAAAGATATTAAGTGGTAGTAGCTTATTAAAAACACTTTAAATTATTAATCTTTCTATACTAGAAAGTGAAATAATTTAGAGTCCTGGTGATAGCATTCTAAGATACAAAAGAATTTAGCTTTATAACGTAAGGTTTGATTAGTAGATTTTCATGTCAGAAGTTACTTGTGACTCAAACATTATTTGCTTGATAAATCTTACACGCATTGTTGTTATTTTTGAATCATTAAAGAGTAATTTTGCATGAACTAAGATAAAATTAGGGCTTAAAAAGTCATAGGCACCACATTTTCATGTCAGACTAATTATTTTCTTCTTAGTTACTTCAGGTATCAAAAGGCAAAAGGAAAGAAGAAAAAGGAAATCTAAAACATGAACACAGATATATAAAGGCAAAAGGAGAGTAGCTGGAACCTTGTCAGATCACAACATATCTGGAGACACTGCAATACAGTGTTTTGCTTGTTTTCAACTCTCTTGTATTCTTGTGTGTTTGTACTGTGTTTTAGATGTTTTCTTCTTTGTCATAGTTCAGATTTTGATGTTTTGGCGGAAAACTGCTACAAGAAGTAAAAATATGGAAGAAAGCAAATGGAACTTCTTTATATCAGGACACTGATGTAAAAATACGGACTAGGTGCAGAAAATTTGTTTCTGATGTTTTGTCTTTACCGTAATCGTATTCAAATGAGTAAAACATTGTATTTAGAACAAAAGAGCTCTAGTGCTTTAAAGGAGAAAAACTGATGATTATGATGAAATGTCAGATGAATAGGTGGCTTATCACTGATCCGGAGGAAGACATCTAATGATGCTGGTTTAATTTCATTGTTACATTTGTTTTCTCATATGATTAAATTTTATAATTCCTTTTCAGTCCTAAAATGTTAGACATCAGAGGTCAGTGCAACAAAAATAAAATATTAATGAGTGACCTTTCCTTTGAAATCACTTCCTAATCCAAACCATCTTTAGTGACTTGAAAAATCTGATCATTTTTCCCCTTTCAAGAATTGGTCAGTTAACAAGTGAATGGTAGCGTCCGCCAGTAATCAGTCCCAGCTACTCAGGAGGCTGAGGCAGGAGGATCACAAGTTGAGGCCAGCCTGGGCAACTTAGTGAGGCCTTGTCTCAAAAGTGGGTATAGTGCACTTGCTTAGCATCCAAGAGACTTTAGGTTGAGTATCCAGTACTGCCCTCTGTCCCCACCCCAAAAGGGGAGAAAAACATCAAACAGCTATTGTTTTATAAAAATACTGCATAAATGAGGTAATACTTCAGGAAAACTTTATTCCAAAAATAGAGTGTGCATCCTAAAACAGTTCTTCAGTATTGTTTTCTGGGAGTAAGGCTTACAGAGAATCCTTATGCATTAGCAGTTTAGAGCCCATAGACCGCTGGCCACTCCCCCCCCCCCCGCATAATTTTAGCTTGACCTTAATTAAAAATTTTTCCTGGCAATAGAACAAAGTATCTACTTTCTAAATACTGCTTTGTGTACTAGAATTGATACCCATGATGTTTAAAGTTTGTAATTTTTCAGCAGTGTTTGAAAACAACATTAACAGATTAACCAGGAAAACTTTTTTCTTATAAAATACTCAAGATTTTACAGCTTTTTGTTTGTTTTTGTTTTTTTTTTTTTTTGGTACCAGGGATCGAACTCACAACCTTGCGCTTGCCGGGCAGGTGCTGTACTGCTGAGCTAAATCCCCAGCTCCAAGATTTTATAGCTTTTAAACAACCTCTGTGTACAACTTTAAACTTCTTTGGAAAAATGTGTTGGTTCCTTCTTTCATAAGAAAATTATATACCTGTGATGCTTTTATTTATTTATTTAGTTACCGGGAATCAAACTCGGGACCTTGCGCTTGCCAGGCAGGCAGTGTTCCACTGAGCTATCGCCCCAGCCCTACACCTGTGATGTTTTAAAGGCGGGGCCACTTTAAACAGTGTACATGTTGGACCACGTGATGCACACTTTCTGTACTCGCCGTTTACTGTGAGTTCATTTCGGTTCTTCATTAGTGCTGTTTTCTGCCTGAGGAAGTATATGTCGTATAGAAGATCCATTCATAGCTACATGATGTGGACAGCTTATTCGTAACTTGTCATGAAATTTGAAGAGTAACGACACATAAAAAAGGTTCTGATGTTAAAGCATTTAATATTTTTTCCTAAATAAAAGCTCCTTTAAGAAAGCCAAATTTCAGTGGATATTCTTGAAATACCTGTTGTAAAAGAAATTTGGGGAATTTTCTTTCATGGCCTACCAATGCATTTGAAGAGGAATGTTGCTGTGTTGGTTTGGGGCTTATTGCAAAGAGAACAATATTGGAGAGGACACAGATTTTATAAGATTGTTTATAATAGTCACCCAAAGACTCATATACTAAAGAGTTCAGGAAATCTCTCCACACACCAAGACCAAGGAATCTAGCTGCAGGCCTGGATCCCACAATAATGTCCTGCATGAGTCCAGCTGAAGACCTAGAGCTCGTAACAATATCTCATGCGGGCCTGTTCCATGGATCTGCGCTGGGAAGGCTCAAAGGTCAGTGGTGGAATCAAGTAAGTCTGTGCCAGCAGAATGAAGGACCTGCACTGGAGCTAGGAAGCAATGCGCAAAGTAAGAACCAGAGCTCCCCGAAAAGTACCACAGCCACCCTCAGCAACAGTGAGGTCCCGAGCTCCTCCAATGATCAGGAAAGCTGAGTTCCCATCAAGAAAGCCAACACAACAACCTTCTTCAGGAGACTGAGCTGTGCACCTTCTTCCCTGCTGGAGCCAGGAAGCGATGCTCAGAGTGAGGACCAGAGCTATCCCAAAGTGAACCCGAAGCCATTCTCAGTGCCAACAAGGTCCCGAGCTCCTTGAAAGATGGAAACAGCCAAGTTCATCAGGAAAGCCAGCATGACGATCACCTCCAACAGAACCAGCAGCTCCTTACAGCTTCTACCAGCTCCCAACAGCTCTCTCCCTTCCCAGCAGCCTCTCTCTGCTCCCAGCAGCCTTTTTCTTCGCCAGTTCTGCCTCGTGCTGCCTGCAGCAGTCCTCAGGTGGGCCTCCCACACCCAGCACTACGCTTACTCCGTGGGGTTAAAAATTGGCCACTATCCATTGTCAACCCACTACAAGGTGTAACAATTCTGTTAATTTTATTTCCTAGTGTTCTTGTGTTCTAACTGCCGTAATCCTTGAGTTTCTCCTTTCCATTCCTACATTTTAGTTTTAACTGCAAAGAAGCTGTGCTGTCAGCATTTTAAAGTCAGTGCTGATAAAAATAGAGATTGTAAATAAATTCAGCATTAACATTAGAGGGGTGGAAGCAGTGCCCCAGTATTTTATCCTGTGATTGTCGGAGGAAGTTTTTATCATGCTGTGGTTTCTCAGAAGCTTACCCCTCTCCGCAGTCAGGGTTCGTTCTGACAAACCGGTTATATGTGACTTGATAGTAACATGTTTATAAATGCATGGCTTTAGTCCTGTAGGAAACTCAGTTTAGGTGTTTTTACATAAACATTGGAGGCTTCAGTGTGACTTACATGTTTTGGGTTTTTTTGCATTAGCAGGGTGTTGTGTTTCTTTTCTCTTCATTAACTTTGCTCAGATTCTTGTTTTAAAATATCAGCTGCTTGATAGTTCTGCCACCCTGAATGCATAGAGTACGTGATTTTAGGATAAAACAGGTGTGTATTGTCAAAAGATTCCACACTGTCTTTCCAGTGCTCTGACAGAAGAGCTGAGAAAAATCACCCTGAAAGGAGGAAGGCTGCCTGACCAGAAGTTTCAACCCGTGGTCACTTGGCCCTGTTCTTGGGCTGCTTGTGAGGCCCAGCATCATGGTGGGAGTGAGCAGCTGCTCACCTTGGGGCATCCAGGAAGTGAATGACAGAAGGGTCGGGGTCCCAAGGACCTCACTGCCGTGGGCCCTCCCCCCCGAAGGTTGCACTACCTCCCAGCAGTGCTATTCCAGGGATAGCGCATGAGCATTTTAAAAAATCTACATTGTAACAATATTCTTACATGATGTGAAACAGCAGGCTGTGATATTCAACCTGATAAGGCAAAGCATGTCAGATTCCCTTCTATGGGTCTGTGTCCAAGCAGTGGTGGCAAAGGTCCATCCTTTTCACAGTTGCCTGGGTCGTTGTGCCTTAACATGGTGCATGACCCCTCGGGTAGGTGCTCCAAACCCTTAGTTGATTGAGAATATTAACAAAATTACAATGGCAGTGTGTGTGTGCATGTCTCCTTTTCTGCTGTTACAAGCCTTTTTCTAGTGCAGGCCAGATTTGTTCAAAACACTTTTCAGCAAACCCTTCCTTCCCCGCCAATGTCCTTATTTAGTGATTTGTGTGACTGGTGGGATTCATTCAGAAGCAGCTTCTCCTGTTTGGTGATTCCGTTTTGTTAGTCCTGGGTTCGTTGTGAAAGGTGGTTCTCCCGTGTAGGGTTTTGTTATCCAGTAAAATGAGACCTCGGCTTGAAGACTTCCACACGGCTGACTCCCACGGAAACAGTTTCTTTGCAGTGTGGGCCTTTTGATGTGGAGCTCTCCTGTCTGGCAC